TTCTGCTTTGCTTTGCCCTCTTGGCTTTCGCGCCCCCCGGGGACTCCCGTGGGAATCCTCCAGCGACAGCGTGTGACACCCCGCTGGAACCCGCGCGGTCGTGGGCTGTTGCCTGCGGGGACGATACCCGCTGAAAATGCCTCTTGGGCCTGCTGGGCGGCTGTTCTGGTCGTTGGGTCTGTTAATGGTCAGCGTGAGGCTTTCCAGCTCTGTGTGCTTGTGCCTAGAGAGAGGAAACTCGTGTGATCTCGGTGACCTGTGGGCTCCTTGGGGACCCGAAGGGAGGGACGTTGCCTTTGATACCGAGAAACCTTTCAGGATTTCCTGATCTGTTTGTTTCCAGATGAGAAAGTTTTCCCCAGAAGTATTAAAACTCAGGGACTGAAAATTCACCAGCGCTTTCATTTTGCCAGTGCCCTGAAAAGAATGTCTGTCTTGGCGTCCTACGAGAAGATTGGCTCGACCGATCTCTGTTACATTGCAGCTGTGAAAGGGGCCCCAGAGACTCTGCACAAAATGGTGAGCGCCTCCCTCCAGGGAGAGGAAGGGCCTTCCCTAGCACGTGTGCTCGTCCCCTTGCACCTCTGCCTGTCCCTGCCCAGTCTGGGACCCGAACGCCGCGGGGATTTCGTCCTGCCAAACGGCGGGGTGAGCCCGTGCCTGGGAACAAACGCCGCTGGGGAGTTTCAGTCTGATCCCAGCGGGATCCGAACACCTCCCCACGCGCCTTCCTGGCGCTGTTGCTTTTGCTGACGGCAGAGGGCTGAACCTGGGGGGTCTCCTCGCTTGCCCTCGATGGTGAGGGACCCTCCCAAAGGTGTCTCTCTTCCCCTGTCCCCGTATTTAACGTGAAATGCTGAAATACGCTCCCGAACCGTGTTCGAAACTCTGTTAACGTGATGCTTTTCCCGCCACCTTCTCTAGTTGTCTCAGTGCCCAAGCAACTATCACGCTGTCCACACGGAAATTTCACACGAGGGGGCGAGAGTGCTGGCCCTGGGCTACAAAGAGCTGGGGCACCTCACGCACCAGCAGGTAACGTGGCTGCTGAAGCCTCGAAATCGGGCTCCTCGGAGCGGAAACGGAGCTGGTGGGAGCAGGGCTGGGGGAGGGGAGGGGTCTCTGCTGGGAGGGGGTTGCCCAAAGCTGCTGTAGCCGTGGGGGCTTTACGATCTGGATCTTCTGGGAAGATGGTTGCGCTCCCAGCTTCAAACTCCTGCGCGATGTCGATCGACCCTGCTTCCCTGTTGGGAAAGTGGGGTCGGTTCTGGCCTTGTCACGACTGAAGAGGCTCAGCACGGGACGTCGTGGCTCTGGTCCTGGTTTGGTGTGGGGGTGGGCACACGTTCGGGGCTGTCTCTGGGGAGCTTTGTGCCAAAGAAGCCTCTTTTTTTTTTTCCCTAGAGCAGCTGGGCAGGGTGCAGGGTCGCTCTGCGTGTCTCGGAGCGCCCGCGGGGAAGCGAAGTGGCTCCTCGCTGAGACACCGCTTGTGGCTTCGCTTTGGCAGGTGCGCGAGGTGAAGCGTGAGGCTCTGGAGTGTGATCTGAGGTTTGTTGGGTTCATGGTGGTTTCCTGTCCTCTCAAAGCCGACTCCAAATCCATCATCAGGGAGATCCAGAACGCGTCGCACCACGTAAGCGTCAGCAGCCTCCTCGCCTTGCTGGTAGCCGGGGCGTTCGGGACGTGGGATTTCAGTACCGGAAGCTTTGTGGAGTGAGGGCAAAGGCTTCCCCAGGGTGAAGGCAGGGAGACCTTGTGGGTGTGATGCTGTTATTTTTGGGGTGGGATTTGCCCTGGCCCAGGGAGGGAGCCTTTCTGCAGGGCGCTGCACAGAGCTACGTCTCGTGGGGAACGTCACCGGCGTCCCAGGACACTCGCTCGCTGTGAAGTGCCGCTTTACCCAGAACTCATTTCTCTTTCTTGACCCCTCTTGCTTTCCCCTCAGGTAGTGATGATAACAGGAGACAATCCTCTCACCGCCTGCCACGTGGCCCGGGAGCTACACTTCCTCCAGAGGGAGCACACCCTCATCCTGCAGCCTCCTGCGAGCGAAGGTAACCCGGCCCCTGCAGGAAACTCCGCTCAGTTTTGGGGGACGACAGCCAAAGCCCGGCTGGGGCATCGTATCAGTCAGCCACGTGCTGTGGGCGCCGCTGCTTGGTGCTGGTAACGGAACCAAGGGGCTCTCCAGACGCCTGGATTAACCCGCTGCCCTTTCCCCCCTCTCTTCTCTGGCGTGGGGTGCTGTGCCAGCGCCAAAACCAAGCCCTCTGAGCGCCGAAATAACAAAAATAACGGCAGCTGTGGTGGGCTCAGAGGCTGTCCGGGGACGCCGAGAGCCACGGCACGGACTGCAGGGAGGGGGGATCCCCCTGAAGGAGGGAGGTGGGCACGGCGCTGTCCCGAGGAGTGCCGAAGGGCCCCGGGTCCGTGATGCTGAGCGGCTGCAAACACCGGGCTCGGCGTCTGGGCGCTTCTCCCGGCCGGGCACCTCGGGCAGGCTCGGGTCAAGCTTGTGCCTCTCTCGCCAGGCTCCGGCTGGCAGTGGC